ATCTGTGGTTAGTGTAATATGCATTTAGCCAACTGTGTTAGAGCAGGACGGCAGTCTGTTTACAAACCTGCCTCAGCGCCTCTGGGCGCAGCACCCAGTGCATTCACTGCTTGCTACTCTGCGTACGCATGTGTGTTGGTGCGACTGGCTGGGGTCGCGCACATGTACGTGTTCATGCATGCTCAGTCAAACCACTGCAGGCAGGCCTCGTTTTGCTCATTCTTCCCCTCTGCTGTGCTCCCGTTCCCTCCGTCTCTATTTTGAGACGCACATGCCTGCTGTGACCCAGCACGTGCCGATTCTGTCAGATTTAGTCTTGGGCTCGGTGGATCGCAGCGCTACACGCCCTTTTCTAAATTTAAAATGATGAAATCAGAAGAAAGTGTGCTGCGCCCATTCGCTGCAGTCAGACTGGGTGCTGACACAGTTTAGTTTGGGCTCTGGATCTCTCAGTCTGCTAAACTTGCAGATCTTTATCAATTGCCTATACACTGACCTTTGCCCCTGTTTGTCCCCCTGTTACAGTTAGTCCTACTGAGCCTCACGAGTGACTGCACTTTTCCAACTCTCCTCATATGCCTGTCTGTCTGGCTGTTCTTTCCTTTACACCACTATGTTTCCCAGATATCCCGTTTTCACACTTTCTGGTTGAGGCCTCGCACATGTCTGTTAGAGGTGTATGCGTGTTTGTGCTGTGTGTTAGTTAGCAGGCCTGTCAGGATGTTAGGAGGCCAGCTGCAGCCTCAGGGCAGAATGAGAGAAGCTGAGATCCAAAGAGAGAAAGAGGAGGAGGAATGTCAGGAATCCCATGGGAAAGCCACTCTGACCATTTGTATGTTTGTTTGTTTGTTTTTGTCTCTCTAGCAGTCCAGCCTGCCTTAACTCAGTGAACACATGTTTAATATGCAGGCCTTTTAGTAAGTACATTAATCCTGTAGAGTGCTACTGTGCACTCTGCAGGTATGCCAGTGGTACCTGGGCAATAAATGTTCAAATCATCAGTCAATAAATTACCCCATGAATGAGTCCAAAAACCTGGAAATAAGTTCAGGATTTTGGAGTCCCGATGCCTCCCCTTGAAGTCTTAGAAATTGCTGGATATTCAGCATCATCAGGCACAGCCTCTCACCAGTGGTGGAGGTATTAAATTCATGACTGTGGTGTACTTTGGCAAAGTATGGCCTATGGCATAAATAGACCCACAGACTGTCTCAGTCAGCAACATTACAAAAACTGGCCCCAAAATCAGTAGCAGGATAGTGCCAAGGTAGCAGTCCAGTACTGAGCAACTGGCATTGTAGGGTACTTTACATAATTTACATTTAGGTGTGAGAGTTAAAGATTCTGGTATCACTGAAAAATAAGCAACCTTTAAATGATGATGGAGGTCGAGATGACAGCAAGGACAGAGAGGAGAAATGGGGCCAACAGGCTGGGCTGGAGAGAGATGGAGAGGAAGAGAAACAGCAGGGAAGAGCTGTGGGGGTCAGCCATCCATCACTGAAGTTTAGGTCACTAATCTATTTACAGAGAGCTGGCACTGCACTTCAACTTGTCATGTGGAACCAATATTTAATTAAAGCTGCACGAGGAAGGCTAATTGGGACGGACCTGCCTTTAGGGGAGGTTTAGGCTGTGGCAGTAACTAAAACAATCAGAAGAATGGAGCTGTCATTTTCAGCTAGTCTTTCACTTCTGCTGTGTACAGCTGACATTTCTGCATGTCATTTGGGAGTGTGTTGGCTTTATTTGACGAGTTTCCTACAATAAAATAGAAAAAAGAAGCAAATATTGCAAATTCTCTCTAAATATTCACTCTTGGCTCTAAATATTGATTCCCTGCAGCTTCGATCCACACACATGGGTGTTGCCCTTAACTTGAATGTGAGTTGAGCCCAGCTGACTTGCAGCTCCCTGCAGTGTTTGCGCTCATCGTTAAAGTGTTTGTGAGGCCTGTTTGGTTTTGTCGAGCCAGCGTGATGTTTGCTGAGGACCCACTGAAATGTTAGCACAGAGTCTCAGCAATTTTAGGTGAGCTGTGTGAAGAGTTCCATCTTTACTTGTGACGCACCTCATTGTCACATTTTCCCCTCAGGCTGGACAGACCACAGACGGAGGCTGCCAGGAAGAGAAACTGAAACCTCTGACCTATGACTTTTTTCTGTCCACAAATGCCAGAGGACACTGCTTTCACACAGGCTGAACAGCCTGATAAACTTGTGGAAAAATTAGTTGGATTGTGTGATATGGAGGGTCAAATATTTGTCTACCTATAACAACTACTGTACGGTGATTCTGCCTCACATTGTCTGGCAGGATGAGTTGAATGGAGTGTCTCATTGTGCAAAACACATGGCAATACTGCTTTATCAGTATCAAGATGTCATTTCAGTGTCATGCATAACAATAACTGTTTAGTTCCTTGTATGAAGTGCATCCGTCACACAATAGGCTCTGGATACGCTGTTTGCACCAAAACATTAGTGCCTGACTAACAAAACCAACTGATGCAATAAAGATTCAACTGAATTCAGAGCTGCAGACTGGCTTTCTCTGTGGTGGTGGGATGCACACAAAAAAAGGGACACCAATTTTTTTTAATTTAGTTATTAACCGAAAACTATAAACACAGAGAATGATTAAAGCAGTTAGTGCAGTGAGTGCACAGACTCCAGCGCTGTCATCTTAAAGTGCAGCTGGTGATGGCATGCTTGCTAGCTTAAAAAAATGTTTCTTCAAATGAGTGAGTTGGGCGTGGTGTAGCAGAGGAAGCTGCAGCAGACAAACTGGATTCCCAACTCATGTCATTGTCAGAATGTCAATCATAGCTGAGCAAATACACACAGGGGCGACCGTGGGGTTAAGAGGGGGTAAAGAATGCAATCCAGCAAAGCATTACACCCTCTCAGCGTAGCCTGATGATATGCACAGCTGTCCTATGAGCAGTAAGAATGAACCCATGCAGATTTAACCCCCAGCAGGTGGTTTGTTTAGAGGATGAAAGGAGTCATACGAGGGGAAAAAATGATGGAAAACTTTGAGCTGAAACCCTTCATTAGGGTCTGTGGTTTTTAAAGCTTCTGACATGTAATGAACACTTGGTTTGTTGTCAACGGTTTGCAAAAAGAAAGTATTTGAATGACACAGAAGCCTGAGACTTTTTACAGCAGACTTTACTTTTAGCGGACGTTACTGGAAAATTGCTTATCAATCAAGAATTACTGGAGCAACATCTGACTCACATTAAAATGGAAATACTCCAGCTTCCTGCTTTCAGGCTGCACACAGATGCTGTATGTAAGAGCTCAGTGGACTGTACTGCACTATACACGGTTTTCTCAGCTGCTCCTTTCAACGCAGATTTAAAGTCAGAGGCAGTGATTCAGCACGCTTTGATAGTGACGTTGATATTCTGTTTGGTCTGTTTAGAACTAGTATTGATATTTGATTTTGTCTTTAAATGGAGTTGAAAATTCAGACCAGTCAGTCTATATAATGACACAGAAACGTGGTATACATTAGGATCAGTTCTCAGTTCTACCCAAAGCATTTTTTTAAATATGTAAATGGTGTGAAAAATACCTATTTCTATACTAATAACATTACATCAGTATTGTTGACCACTCTGTGATTTGTCAAGTAAAAACTGCGTAAACATCTGCTTATTAAACATGAGAAAAGGCCTCTTTGTGCAGCCGCTAGCAATTTTAAATTCGAGTAAAGAGTTTTTTATAGAGGAAAATGGTAAAATGGATTATAGAATACTTTACTTGGATGCTTGGACGTTGGTGTTTATATGCCCTGCTGGTATGTATATGTGCAGGAAACACTGAAAAAGCACACACATCAATGTCAACACTGGGTAACAGAAAAGTCATAGACATGTTTCCACCTACTTGGAATCACATAAAAACAACAATGCTGGAGCTGAAACATCAGTGAGTTAATTGATTTGGTGGCATGTTTTTAAAGGACAACTTGAGGAAATTCTGTGAGTCACGTGTCTGCTAACTGAAATTTAAGGGTTTCAGATTGTTAAACAACTTAAAAAAGAGATTTTATAGATGTTGCAAGATTACAAGCGTCCTCTGACCTCTATGAACAAAACATCTGGAAAATGATCTGCAGATGGCTAAATAATAACACGCGTCGACACATTTTTGCCATTCTTTGTAAACTGGATGTGTTATGGTTTTCTCGTAGCACCTTTAAATTCTCTTACCTGATAGATCTGATTCAGAATTTAAATTTTTGCTCGGTAACCTTTTTTGTCCAGTACTCTAATCTTGGTCTGTTTCTGATGTGTCCTTTTTGGAAACCCCCTCAAGCTACTGTGTACCCAGCCCAGATTGATGTTTGGCCACAGATTACTCCAGTTTTCAAAGCCTGAAATTGTGTCGTGGGAGTCGGTCAGAGGTCTTGCTGGGACAGGCAGCCCTCCTTCCCTCCAACCAAACACTCCTCCAGTGCCTTTTCATGAGACACAAGCCAGATGCTCAGCTATTAATCACAGGCCTGTGTGATGGAGAGGGCGAGCATATGCAATGTGTATGTTTGGACTGACTGCGCTCTTTGTCAAGTAAATGTTTGTGCAGCTTCTGTGCCGTCAGTATGGGAGAAGGGAATGGAAAGTTGGCACTGTGAGGACCGAAATAAAGAGATTTATACTTCAAGGACGCACTGAGCGAGGAGGACAGAGGAAGAGTAGATAAACGGGGGGTGGGTGAGAGAGAAAGTCAGCAGGAGATGGAGAGGAAATGTTTTATTCCCTCCATCTGAAAGCTTTTCATGCTGGCAGATGAGTCCCTGACCTTTCCCCTTACAGACAGTGAATCTGCTTTATTATCTGCACTGCATCCATGTCTCTTCAGGCCATCTCAATATTGTGTTCAGCGCATGCACATGCTTATGTAAAGTCCTTTTTGTCATGTGTTCAGCTGGTTGTACTTAGAAAACAGTAAGATTATATAACGTTGCTTAACTTGTGCTTTTGTCCTCAGGTGAGTCTGGTCTCGGGAAATCGACTCTCATCAACTCCCTGTTCCTGACTGACCTCTACTCTAAGGACTACCCTGGCCCCTCCCACAGGATTAAAAAGACTGTTCAAGTGAGCCTTTTCAGCTTTTTGCCCAGTAAATGAATCCTATGAAGTCTAGGTCACCATTGATGACAAGATCTGTAACCTTAACTAGAGATGGCACAACACCACTTTTTTATGACCGATATCATAAATTTGGATATCTGCCGATACCGTTATGAATCCGATATAGTGTATTTTTAATCAATAAAACGGTTTTTTAAATATCTTGCTGCATTTTGTATAAGTTCATACTCAAGTTTTAAAAAAACAAAAACACTAAAGCTATTCTGTTATACCTGTATGCAAAAAATATACTGCACCCAGAATATTTCATAGTTCAGCAATACTGATCAATCTAACAAACTTAAATCCTCCATCCTCCCTGTTCTGGTATTTTAAAGAGTACTTAGCAGGAATATTAAACAACCTAACTAACAGGGCTGCAAACTCACAGCAAAAAATAAATAAAAACAGGGAACCACCCTCTGCCTCGTGATGCTTTATCGGCGTAATCAACCTTAATTTAATGCACGCGTTATTTTAAAAAAATGCACAGAAATCAATTATTTTTCTACAATAATTAAATAGATTCAACATCTTTCTTCAACAGAATTGCAGACTGCACAGATGGTACCTTCCCAAAGGAAAAAGTACTATAGCTTACTAGGGTATATTAGACTTAACCGATCATTGATCAGTTTCATGATCGAAGTAGCAGCAGGAGAGGGAGGGAGAGAGGCAGTCGCTCCATATATCGGTTGTTAAGCTTAACGCTGGAATGCTTTACAAACATTCAGAGATGAACTTACACACTTGCTTTACTTCTCTCTGGGATCACTTTCTCGGAGATGAAATGCCGGGTTGGTAGCGAGGCTCCAAATGCTCAACCAGATCGCTGAGAGGTCTCACACGCCACAGCTGCTCTATCATGTGACGCATTCTGCTCGACGTGCTAAAGTTATGAGCTGAGTTACGCCATGTCACAAGTTTTGTGAGGCGCTTTTGTGATATTTAATGGATCGGATTACTTTTTTTTTTTTTTATTTCTCTCCGATATCCGATCCAGTAATTTAGGTTCGTATCGGACCGATGCGTAATATCGGATCGGTCCATCCTTAACCTTAACCCCTGTTTCCTTTACACTTTACATCACATGTGATTTCTGGGTTTTGAATTTTGTTTTATAACTAAAGCACATTAAAACAATACTTTTTAACTAAATGTACTTTCTTTTAAACACAGGGTTAGGTATAACCTAATAACCCATGGTAGTGTTAATTCTCACCCTAAGCCTATATGGGTCAGGCCTCAGTTGCCATCAGTTCATTTTTAGCTTCAGGTCCAGTGTAGAGATGTTTTGAGTTTTTGTTAATGGTCTCTGTACAACCCCATGTCTTCTTATAGTTGATAGTCATATAAACAAAGGCACTATATGTGCTAAGACTGTGAGATCACCATTCACCTTTTTCCTGCAAGAGTTTGATGCTTGATGTCGATTTTTTCTACGTTCTAAATTCCAGCAGCGACAGCAAATACTGGGATGAGGATTAGGAAACCATGAAATGAACAGATGTCTTACAAGAAAGTGTTGTTTCTTAAGCCAGTTTGAAGGGAAATAACCTTGTTAATGGAGACATTTTAAGTCCTCCCACAGCCGTTGCTCAAGGCATTTTGTCATTTACATTCCAGTGTCGGTGATATCTTCTAATATCTAAAACCAAATTCTTCACGTAGTTCTCATTCCCTCAGAAAAATGATGATTTCTGGGTGTTAAAAGTAAGCATCAGTGTGACCACACCATATGTTAGGAGCCCCTGAAAGTAATCTCATTCATTCTGGCCAACAAAAAGTATACTTGAGCGTGAGGGGGAGACTATTTGAATTTGGTAGTTGTTTTGGTGAGCAGTTCAAAGACCCTTGTGGAGCTCGTGGTTAGGTCTCAGTGTTTGCAAACTCGACCTCGGTGTGTGAGGCCAACCTGAACTATAAAGTGTAAAGAAAAAAAGTCAGGTACAGTTAAACTTGATGGAATGCAGGTTGAATGTTCACCTACAAAGTAAAAGTTGTGTCTTTTTGGATGATGTTGAAATTTCCTCAAGAGTTGTTGAAAAGCTCAAATCTCTAATCTGAGCTTAAACACATCCCGTATATGTAGACGTTAGACCAGTTATTAAATCCAAGAGTTGACTTTTTTTTTTTTTGCACCAGCACGTTCAAAGTCTTAACTGGTGTCTTCAGTAAAAAAAAAAAAAAAGGAAAAACATGACAGATAAGCACAGGCACTGAAAGGGATGAAGTTTCATGTTTTCTGACAAATTAATTGAGAACATCTGGTCTGGTCATTCTGAAGGCTTTTCTTGCTCCTGCATTATCAGCCAGGTTTGTTAAAATTGACATGTTAGTAGGGATGGAAGGCTAAGAGGGGAGCAGGATTCTGCTGGGGAAGAAGAGATTATAATGGAAAAGGAGAATGAGAATGCAGGATGGAGGAACTACGAGGCAAACAACAACGCCACTGGACCTAGTTTTGTCCTTTTATGGTAATGGCAAATTGAAGTGGAGGAGGGAGACTGTGTCTGGAGTAAAAGGGGCAAAGGAGAAGCAGTTTGGGAAAGAGGAAAAAGCAGAAGATGGAGATGTGGGACAGTGTGATGAACTAAGACGGAAAGAGATGAGATGGTGGTGGCAGGAGAAGACGGACAGAAGCAACATGGCGATGAGTGAGGAAAAGGTGGAGCTTTGTAAAACTAAAGAGCATATAAACCTCGAGGAGGGTGATGGGGTAGATGTGATGAGGGGAGAGACAAAGAAAAACAGAGGATTAGGGCTGAATTTCCCCCTTGGGTCTGAGAGGGTCAATAGCAGGGCAGGAATGTTCCCATGAAATGTAACACCCTCCCACCCCACCCTCAACCACTACTTAAAAGATGAGAATTCATCTCCACACGCCGCTTTGCACTATAATTCGATTCCCACTACCATATTACTGTTGTCTTTTCACATGAACGCAAACAAGCATCACCCACACATCCATACAGCACACAGCAGCCGTGAGATGGATGCGTTCATGAAGTTTGACCTCGACAGCCACGAGATTGAGAGCAGACCTCTCCAGGCTAGTGTTGGGGTTATGAAGTCTTAAGATTTCCATATGGGTATGTCATAGGGGAAAATTCCATATACTGGTATTAATGTGAACTTAACATTTACAACTCTAAATGGGTGGCTGGCAGCTGAGTGGGTGAGAGAGGTTAAAATGTTAATTGAGACAAGTTAACCGCCGTTTTCGCTTTACCGTTTTTTGACTTTTTTTTTAATCAGTGTAGGTGAACACTATTGTATCATTCCAATGTACGTTAGCTAGCACCATCTGCAGAAGAATAAGTCCCCATGAAATGGCAGTTGGTGTAGTTGTGTGAAGCCTTTGGTGGATGATGAAAGTGAAGACAGACAGGAAGTGCATGGGAAGGAATGAAGCAAAAGGTTGGAAAAGTCAGGATTAAAAGCAAACACAGTTGGATAGCAGATGTTTTACTTTGCCAAAGGCACAGACTCGGCAGCATTTTGGAAAATAGGGACCTGTTAACTCACAGTAAGCTAACAGTAAGCCATATATTCCAAGATGGAGAAGGCTAAGGTATCTTTATATCTGACTTTGACTCTGATAGTCGTCCTGGTCACAGAAGGTTTTGCTCTCCAAAACTCGTAACAAATGAGCACATTATGTCAAATGTTGTCTAAATGCAAGGAGGTACGCAAGTCAAGTCAATAACTTTGTCAAGGCTGTGGATCAGGACAGGTATAGACAATCTCTGAACCAGAAAATAGATACGTGTGCATTTACCATTAAACAAAAATTATTAAACTGGACTCAAGTTGATGTTGACTTTTAGCCTTTGGCAAATTTTAATGCTTTATAATGCCAAGTTACTCATTCCTTTTCTTTTAGTTCAATGCAGCATGGAGTGCAGCTAGAGATAACCAACCAAATTTATCTGGCAAAACGGAGATGACTGAGTGCCAAAGATGTCCAAATATAATCTCAAGTTAAACTTATGTCTCTGAACCTAAAATAACAATGTTGTTCTATTCAGACCGAGGTGCATAGTGGTGCCTTATGTTATAGAGCAGGGGTGGGCAATTCCAGGCCCCAGGGGCCGGTGTTCTGCAGGTTTTAGATCTCACCTTGGGTCAACACACCTGAATCACATGATTAGTTCGTTACCAGGCCTCTGGAGAACTTCAGGACATGTTGAGGAGCTAATTTAGCCATTTAAATCAGCTGTGTTGGTTCGGGGGACACATCTAAAACCTGCAGGGACACCGGCCCTCGAGGCCTGGAGTTGCCTACCCCTGTTATAGAGGAAGTAGTTTTTTGTAGGAAGTCACTGATACATCACACCGAATTTAGTCAGACGGTGCTGTTGATAAAATATGGCAGGATTATCCAGTCACTTTTTACACTTATTAGAAAACAGACCTGAGATCTGTGAGTCCTTGGGTCAGCTCTCAGTCTCTTGAGTAAACCCATTTAAACCTCTGCATTTTATGTATGAAGTCAAAGGCAGACCCGCAGTAAGATACAGACTTCAGGTCTGAAATCTGTATGTTCCAGTATCAACACTATTTTGGGTTTGCAATGCATCTATAATACATACTATAGTCTGGGAAACTGAACAAACTCTGAGATGGTTTGCTATTTCAAATTAAAGTAAGTAAAAATCTCAGTATCTACACTTCTAAATCTGTCCTGTATTCTTTACAAACTGACAATCATTCAGTCAAAGCGCTGTGTATTTTCAGCTTCTTTTCTTTAAAGTTTGCAGACTCTTTTCATTTCCTCATTAGGTTTAAATTTCTTCACTGCAACAATTTGAAAGTCCTGTTCATTTTGTGACGTTCGATTGTACTGCACACTTGGCCTAAATTATAAATGACAGGAGCCGCTCAGGCAGCTGTGATTCTGCATCTTTGTGCAGGTCTGTTGTGATCCAGACGACGCACCAAGGTGGTGCTAAATTTACTCTGTTTTGACGAGACTGAAAACATTAAGAACCTTTTGCTTCAAGCTTTCTCTCACTCTATTGCGCTCATCATACCTCATGTGAGCCCCATGAGCGCAACGTGGGCAAGCAGGCTCTCCTCCAAGCAGCAGTTAGTGTGCATACGTTGGAAAGGAGCCGCTGTGGTCTGAGGCTGAGGGGGAGAGCCCGGGTCAGAGTATTTATATTGCAGAACAATCTCCCATGTTTTGTCGCTCGCTCACATTCCCCACAGATCAGATTTCTTTTAAATGATGGTGTTGAGCCTGACGGCATTTTTGAGGTTTTCTCCCAATCTGTTTTTCTTCACAGAAACAGTGGAAATGGCAGATTTGGTTTTGAGAAGGGCTGACATGTCATGCGCAAACACTTACAATACAGACACAGATTTAACACACATGCCTGGCTGCACAATTAAGGTCAGATGTGTAAAAAATATATATATATTTATGTATATATGGTCAGCTGTAAAGCCAGACAGATTATCTGAAGGTTTGTGGAAGCTAAAGAATGTTTGTGTTACAGTGAGAGGGCTGTAGTTTGAGTTAAAGGGGTGATCCTAAAATAACTACATGGTCCTGTGAAACTATGCGACGAAGTGGGGGAACAGCTGGCGAGCTTCAGGAAATGGATGGATCTCTGGGACTGAATGGGAACGTATGTGACTGCAGACTATGATGAACAGTTTGCAGTGATGGCTTCACTTTTTGGCATATGTAATTAAACATTAAATTAAAATCAGCTGCATTGAGTGAACACCCAAACTCAGTGTGCATACATGGCTGTTGTGTAAAAAGGCTTTCATACAGTGACATATGCACTCATGGCATGCTAGAGTGGATGTAAAGATGGGAGAAGAAAAGTCTAAATGCCTTTATCATCTGCTGGACTCTCCAGTATGTGTAATAAATATTATTTCTATCATAAAATCACCTTTTGGCTCAGCTTAAAAATACCCCCATGCTCTATTTTTAACCATGTTTAACTATTAAGACAATTGGGAACTCTGCTGTATTTGTTTTACTTTACATTTATTGACAGGATTCACTAAGTCACATTCAGTGGCAGATCAGCTGACGTAAGTGACACACACAGCCTATTGGCAAATCGCACATTGGGTGCTCTGTTTAAGTTGGTTTAGAATGCCAACGTGTGCTGGGCAGTTGCCGAACTCTGTTGTGCCTTTCCACCAAACAAGCTTTAGTCTACAGGGTTTTTTAATGAAACTGTGCACAAACCTTAGAGTTGCAGTTTCATTGAGGAGGTGCTGTTTTCAATGGAACTGATACCATGCACAGTAAGGAATTTGAGTGTGGTAAAGTTCAGGCACACTTCAAGGACCAGTTTAGCTGATCTTGATGCCAGCACATATAAGCTGAAGGCTCAGATGGTACATTTTTACACATTGTTTTGACACTACTCTTCATGTTCAGCATGCCCACAGTTGTTGCGTGTGTGCAAGCCTCTTTACAACCCATCATCACCCAGGTCCTTTCACGCTGTATGTCGCTGAACCACCGTCATAATCTGCTGTCACTGATGTCTGTTTTGTTCGTGCGGCTGCTCTCATTGCCTCCATGGAAATCGAACTCTTCTTTGGAAGACAGTGGTTTTGACTTAAGTAGACACACACACACACACACACACACACACACACACACACACACACACACACACACACAGTGCTGAGAGGAAGGAAAAGAACTTCACTCGTATTGTACACATACTCAACCAGCAGATCGGTTTCGGCTGTGTGGGAGGACCTGCTGTGCAGTGTATGTAGTCCAACATGTGTGGGCAGATACATGCTGTCAAATTATATTCTGAAAGTGTGAAGTTATTGCAGCTAATGGAAACACTTTATAAATACTGTAAGGCAAGGCTGAGATCCCAAGAGTTCTGAAGGGTGTGAATGTTTGTGTTTCAGGTGGAACAGAGTAAAGTTTTGATAAAGGAGGGAGGAGTCCAACTAACCCTAACCATCGTGGACACACCAGGGTTTGGCGATGCAGTCGACAACAGCAACTGGTGAGGATTGCCCACGAAGACATGAACAATTTGATTCTGCCAAGCAATCATATGCTCTTTGTTGTACAGTCCACTCTCTCTGACATCATCTTTCCATGTTCCCAGCTGGCAGCCTGTCATTAATTACATTGACAGCAAATGCGAGGACTTCCTGAACGCTGAGTCGAGGGTCAACCGCAGGTCCATGCCGGACAACAGAGTCCACTGCTGCCTATATTTTATAGCGCCATCTGGACACGGGTGGGTGCTGCATAAGATGATATAAGAAGATGCAGATGTAATTAAGAGACATGAAATGTTCGAAAGGTGGCAGTGATGCTGTCTGCATATAACTGGAAAGGATGTACTTGAGTGTCTGTCTGTCTCATAAAAGAGGAGCCTGCCAGCCAGTATTTGTGACCCACATACAAACCAGTTCTGCTCATGCTCAGTAGAGTTTCCTGATCTCCATCACTGAATCACCCAGTCAGAGTGGAGACTCGCAGCAGCTCCCAGGAACAGCGCTTTCAACTCAGACGTGCCATACTGTCTTACGTTAGCGTCCGTGTGTGTGCGCGCACCTCTCAGGCTTTAGCGATGGATGTAAACCTGCAGAGTTGATTGGCATGCAGTGTGTTTAAAATAACACTAATTTGTTAAATATTTCAGCAGCCCAAAGCATAAAATGTGTGAAACATGTTGCTGTCTGTGAATGTCAAAACACAATCTGACATTTTCTGATCATTTTAGCTCAGCTTTAAGTGCCTCCATGATGCACCTTAACTGCATTGAGGCAGTGACAAAGACAGGAAACCTGTCTACGAAAATAAACAGTCTTCAATCGATCATCCAGCAAAGTCGGGCTCACTTGTCAGATCAGCTGCAATTTGTGCCATCCTACATCAGCTGAAGGCTCAGCGGATTCCCTTCTAGACATCAGATGGGCAAGTCTCACATGGGTTTTTATGTTGAGGCTGCTTTACCAGTCGTTTTAGTTGTTCTACATCAGCAAGCCATTTAGAACCCAACTTCACCTCAGGACCACATTTCACGTGGTTTCTGTCTAAATCAGTGTCATGTTATTATCATTAATGCCAGCTCTATTCTGTGCTGGGGCCTTCCTGCTACTGTATCCTTTGGTTTTACAGTTATACAGAAGGAAGGATATGGAGGCCCCACAACACATGTTCCAGATATAATTTACTCCCGACAGAAATGACAATCTTTCTTGAACTATGAGAAAAGCACACAAGCAGTTGAAAAGTTCATTAAATGTTAAATAAGCCGGTCTTATCTCTCCCCTTAAAGTGTAATCATGCACAAAACGGTCTGTTCAGGTATTCTGTTCCTACTGCCTCCAACATAAAGAAAACGGTGGATGCTTTATGCTTTTCTCCTAACCATCGAGAAACAAGCACTGGTACATGGTTGAGCAAACGACAGGTCATCCTGCAACTGGAGATGCACATTTTGGTTTTCTTTGTTAAACAACTGCTGCAGTTTGTTTATCATCAATAACAGATCAGATTTTAACATGTGAATTTTACAACTCATCATAAATGGTTCTGCCACACCACAGCTTCTTGTATTCTTTGAGCAGTGTTCTAAGTTTAAAGTCAGAGACAAGTCAGTAAATTGTCTACTTCACTGAGAAGATGCATCACTTAATTACGCTTTTACTGTCACCCCAGAGGAATCTGCCTACATTTCCAAGCAGACTCTTTACCACTTTTAAATGATCTGCAACAAGCTCCAGAAGGCCCGTTTCCACACTGCTGCCTCCAAAAGTCACTCACATGTGGCTGTAAAATGTGAAATCCTATAAATCCTGCTTTAGAAGTAAACTGCATACTCATTTCCAGACCTGTCCTCTCTGATGTTTTAGTTCCCTGGAGTAACTACAAGAGTTCTGACAGTGAGTCCAGCTTTCTGACAAAGTGCCGCTCATGCTGGTTTGATTAATCGGTGTCAGTGTGTGGGAGATTTCGGATTTTGACTTCACAGAAATGCCCTTCGAGTCTCCTGCTCTAACCAGACACTCTGACTCCAGTGTTATCTGGGGCTGCCTTCACTCCAGCTCTCCTCTGGTGCAGCAGCATTATATCCAAAGCTGTCCTCACTCGCTGAGCCGCCCAGCAGCTGTTTTGCTGGCCTCTTTCATGGAACAACTAATTCAACTCAACACGCAGCAAAAAGCATTTGCAGATATATAAAGTGCTTTCATGTAGACAGTGGTAATCCATTGAGCTGGCAGAATAATAACTGTATTATAGTTTTGAATGCAATGCTAAACTTATTGTGTGCGATTCTATTTTACGTTGAATAGTTTTCCCCAGAAAGGTTAAACTACATAATGAGCCTTTAACCTGCACATTATACAGGGGGCTATTTAGTATTATACTCCATTAATTTACTATCAGTCCACTGCAACACTGATGTAGTGGGCTGACAGCTAACATTGTAAACAAACTGAGAGAGAAAAGGAAAAAATAATGATTACTGCATTCACGACAGACTCTCAATGTTTGTGATGCGATTAGGAATTTCACATAAGGTATTTCCCAGCTATATTTTGGAAAGGGGGCCTCAGAAGGATCAAGGTTATGGACTCTGTAGCATGAGGAGTGAATTCTAATGGTCACCTTGAATGCATTTCTACTTTGGTAGCCTGGAAGCATTTGGCTTCTCTATTTTAATCTGACTTCTATTGTATGTCATGTACATTGTACTAGAACTATTACAACTATTATTGTATAAATATTGTATACTTAAATGTAAAATGACAACAAAGTAGACTCTGAAGCCATCGCAGTGTTTGTTTTGTTGTCCTCATGAGAGGATTGTATTGGACTCTGTTGTTCCGGTCAGTTGTTGGCAGTACTGAGTAGTGGACTTGCTTTCTAAGTAAGTGTTTTCTGGTGTTGCTCACTGAGGAAGAGTAGAGGCTGCAGCAGAGAGGACAAGTGCACATCCTTTAGGATTTTGGCTGAAAATTTGTCCAACATCTCTAACACAAGTCACTGCACCGGCAACTGAGAGTGTCGAGGACGGTCGCCATTTTGAATTTACATTCAGAAAATGGCAAAAAAACAAAATCTTCCACTCCAACAGCTGATAATACAAATGTGGTTTGTTCTGTTAGGACTGACTGTGTGCCCGCACAGCTTGGCATTCAGAGGTGAAGACCCTGTGGCTCCCTGACAGTCACTTGCTGTGGGCTACATGTATTGTACAGTTTTGTGTGGCCCTCTGCTGGTGACCCACTGAACTGCTCTGAACTAAAGAGGCACACTGTGGTGTTTTCTTTAGATTCAGTCTTGTGAGTTGATTCCTCATTCATGTGGTGAGTCACACAGCCAAATACAGCTGCTGACCCACTTAAAATAATGTAATGCTATTCAACCACAGCTTCATGAACTGACACATCAGCCCCAATGAACTGTATATAATTTACAGGGAGTGCAGAATTATTAGGCAAGTTGTATTTTTGAGGAATAATTTTATTATTGAACAACAACCATGTTCTCAATGAACCCAAAAACCTCATTAATATCAAAGCTGAATGTTTTTGGAAGTAGTTTTTAGTTTGTTTTTAGTTTTAGCTATTTTAGGGGGATATCTGTGTGTGCAGGTGACTATTACTGTGCATAATTATTAGGCAACTTAACAAAAAACAAATATATACCCATTTCAATTATTTATTTTTACCAGTGACACCAATATAACATCTCCACATTCACAAATATACATTTCTGACATTCAAAAACAAAACAAAAACAAATCAGCGACCAATATAGCCACCTTTCTTTGCAAGGACACTCAAAAGCCTGCCATCCATGGATTCTGTCAGTGTTTTGATCTGTTCACCATCAACATTGCGTGCAGCAGCAACCACAGCCTCCCAGACACTGTTCAGAGAGGTGTACTGTTTTCCCTCCTTGTAAATCTCACATTTGATGATGGACCACAGGTTCTCAATGGGGTTCAGATCAGGTGAACAAGGAGGCCATGTCATTAGTTTTTCTTCTTTTATACCCTTTCTTGCCAGCCACGCTGTGGAGTACTTGGACGCGTGTGATGGAGCATTGTCCTGCATGAAAATCATGTTTTTCTTGAAGGATGCAGACTTCTTCCTGTACCACTGCTTGAAGAAGGTGTCTTCCAGAAACTGGCAGTAGGACTGGGAGTTGAGCTTGACTCCATCCTCAACCCGAAAAGGCCCCACAAGCTCATCTTTGATGATACCAGCCCAAACCAGTACTCCACCTCCACCTTGCTGGCGTCTGAGTCGGACTGGAGCTCTCTGCCCTTTACCAATCCAGCCACGGGCCCATCCATCTGGCCCATCAAGACTCACTCTCATTTCATCAGTCCATAAAACCTTAGAAAAACAGTCTTGAGATATTTCTTGGCCCAGTCTTGACGTTTCAGCTTGTGTGTCTTGTTCAGTGGTGGTCGTCTTTCAGCCTTTCTTACCTTGGCCATGTCTCTGAGTATTGCACACCTTGTGCTTTTGGGCACTCCAGTGATGTTGCAGCTCTGAAATATGGCCAAACTGGTGGCAAGTGGCATCTTGGCAGCTGCACGCTTGACTTTTCTCAGTTCATGGGCAGTTATTTTGCGCCTTGGTTTTTCCACACGCTTCTTGCGACCCTGTTGACTATTTTGAATGAAACGCTTGATTGTTCGATGATCACGCTTCAGAAGCTTTGCAATTTTGAGACTGCTGCATCCCTCTGCAAGATATCTCACTATTTTTGACTTTTCTGAGCCTGTCAAGTCCTTCTTTTGACCCATTTTGCCAAAGGAAAGGACGTTGCCTAATAATTATGCACACCTGATATAGGGTGTTGATGTCATTAGACCACACCCCTTCTCATTACAGAGATGCACATCACCTAATATGCTTAATTGGTAGTAGGCTTTCGAGCCTATACAGCGTTGGAGTAAGACAACATGCATGAAGAGGATGATGTGGACAAAATACTCATTTGCCTAATAATTCTGCACTCCCTGTAAGTTCATGGATGCTGTATTTTAGCTTTTTTTTTTTTTTTTTTTTTCATCCTCTAGTCTTAGCCAGGTAGGAACTCCAGCCTCGAGGCCGGTGTCCTGCAGGTTTTAGATCTCACCCTGGGTCAACACACCTGAATCAAAGATTAGTTCATTACCAGGCCTCTGGAGAACTGAAGACATGTTGAGGAGCTAATTTAGCCATTTAAATGAGCTGTGTTGGATCAAGGACACATATAAAACCTGCAGGACACCGGCTCTCGAGGCCTCGAGTTGCCTACCCCTGTCTTAGTCTGTAGATATTCAGCCTCTGAGAGTAAAGAGAAATCCAGCATGCAAAGGGACCAAGCAAATATTTCTCTAACTCAAAGTCTTCAAAGGAAAATGGTTTATTCACTCAGCACATGATGAGCATCCTCGGCCAGTAGCTATCTGTCCTCCTCATGCTTTTCCTTCTCTGTCTCCTCTTCAGCCTAAAACCTCTTGATATAGAATTTATGAAAAGGCTCCATGATAAAGTCAATGTCATACCTCTCATCGCAAAGGCTGACACACTGACGCCTGAGGAGTGCCATCTTTTTAAAAAACAGGTATTTCTGCACATTTGTGTCACATTAAAGGTGCTAACTAAGGCATATATGCAAACTGAGCTGTTGCATATGTGCCATCTTTACTTTCTACAAGCAGCACATACAGTGGCATGCACACATTTGGGCCTCCTTCCATTCAGTAATGTTAAACTAAGCAACGCTGTGTATCGTACACCCAATACAAGTGAAGCTAATGTGATATCTTAGCTCTGTGTATGCAGATCTGTTGGTAACTGATCACTTTCTCTCTTCAGATTATGAAAGAGATTCAAGAGCACAAGATTAAAATATACGAGTTTCCAGATGTAGACGAGGATGAGGACAATAAGCTGGTCCGGAAGATCAAGGTAATGAAGGATGCAGTTCTTTTCAAGCTTGACTCAGGGTTTTCCGATTGATCTACGCAGGGACAACCAAAGATCGGTGTGTCCTTTGTTCAAGGTCCACATAATAGCTGCTGCTATCTCACTTATAAGGCTGATTGTATAACTGATCATCAAATTTAAAGACAGACTGATGAACTTTGGTGACTGTCATGCACATAACTCCCTGACGCAGTCGCTGTTGTCATGCATATATGAATATACAGAAAAGGTAAATAAGAAGTGAGATTTCTGGTACCGGATGCTTCCTGGTTTCCATTTGTCATCCAAAAACTGTTGTGTTTGAGCAGACTTTTGTTTCTAAGCGTCAAATGGTCCATGTGGAAAGCAAATCGACAAAAGAGTTTGCTAAAATGCAATTTTGACACCAACAGTTTGTCTGGAAACAGTTTGGCTTTATATTTGCATTATAAACATTTGCCAGCAAGTCTGGAAACACTGACCATTGCCTCCAGACAAATTCAGACACATCAGTAGATGATAGCTAACCGGTTCCTGCATTGGCTTTTAGATTTTCATTACAGTTTTGAGATACGTTAGCTGACTTTTGGGAAAACGTGTCAACAGAAAATGCATATTAATTATGTAAATGTTAGAAAATAGGTCCTTATGGTTTTGCTGATCATTTCTCCACTTTTGACTGATGACTTTGACAAAATGAGATGATATAATGATCACAGTGAAAAAGAATAAAAACTTGACAGAAGTATGAATGTGATGAAGGTGACCACTAAAGCTTCAGTGAGTGTTGATGCTTGCTGTTTGGCGGGAAACGCACCTGACTCGTTACAACAGTTAGATGTGAAGTCACACCAGCTTTAAAGCTAAATTTCACTTATATTCCTTTATGGCAAATTTATTCTCTTTATTTGTAGTAGGGCTGGGCGATATGGCCTAAAATCCATATCGCGATATAATTTGAAGCATGTGCGGTAACGATATATATCGCGATATATTCTTTGCTTCTGTATAACGTATTTTCCACACTATAAGGCACACTCTTGATTTTTGAGAAAATTAAAGGATTTTAAGTGTGCCTTATGTATGAATTCTGGTTGTGCTTACTGACCTCAAACCATTTTGGCGTGCAGAAATCTGTTTAAATAATGTTTTGATGGATTGTCACAGTATTACTGCTGCCGTAGTGAGGAACTTTGCGGAGTAATCTGGGTCCAAAACTCCGTCTTCTTCAGGTCCCAAAGTCAAACGAACACTAAGAGTTAAAAACGGTCTAAATTCTTTCATCTTTAATAAAATCATCAGCGTTGCTGCTTTAGCAGGTGTAACAATTAAGTTTAACATCCATGCATCTGTGAAAAGAAGTTATTCAATTTAACAGAGTTAGAAGTTAACAGGAAGTTAGCTCGCTAGTTTCCACCTAAACATGACATGCCATGTTCTGATTGAGAGATTTTTGAAACTAATTCAAACGTACAGCTCTGCTACCACTTCCAACATAAATGAAGACAGAAAACTAAACAGCAGTGACGTTTGTAGGGTTACTGAAGTTGGAGTACCTGGTATATAATGTTGTGCTACGTGATTGCTAGCGACACAGCTACGTTAGCATAACATTAGCACAGTGAAGCTAGAGGATGGAGGATGTTCAAAGAGAAGATATAAAACAAAGTTCTAAGCTAATCGACCTTAGTGTTCTCCTTTTTAAAAATAAGAATCGATAAGAGAATCAATAATGAATCGAATCGTTAAACAGAATCGAAAATGGAATCTGAATCGTGAAAATCTTATCAATACCCATCCCTACCCAGCACATCGTTTTCAAACCCCCCACGGTCTTTTTGCTACTCAGGTTAAACAAACCCCAGCAGCTGTCTATTGTATTAAGACATACATGTACACTATTTTTATTAATAGAGATTTCACTACTGAGGTTAAACATGATATATAAGTCAATTAGATCACTTCTAAATGTTAATGTTTGGTTTATTTCAGTGTTTTATTTGTTCCTGAGTAAATTGGTTTGGCTGTGATTAAAGTTAAGCTTCATAACATATTAATCACAGTTAAATTAAGAGTGGACGGCAGTAAAAACTCCGGACCTGTGACATCATCAAGTACGCTGATGTTCCAATTGTACAAATCGCGAGTCCGCGCTCGCGTTCTCGGCAAGTCCGTACTCCCGTGCGGTCTCAGCAAGTCCAGTCTCGCCGAGAACGCAAGTACGTACTTGCCTACTTAGAATTGAGAAAGGGCCCTGAACTAAAACAATGCTCAACTTGTTTGTTCTCCAGGAAAAAATGCCGCTGGCAGTGGTTGGCAGCAATGTCGTTATTGAAGTGAACGGCAAGAAGGTCAGAGGTCGTCAGTACCCATGGGGTGTGGCAGAAGGTAGGTTGACTCGGATCCTGTGCTGGAAAGCAAGTTTTCATTCCGTAGCCAAACCGGAAATCTGTAAAATGACCTAGAAAACAAATGTAGGCCCTTGAAACCTTTTATGATTTGCAGCAATGACGATTATTTTCATCTCTCATCTGGTTTTAAGAGTTGCTGTATGTCACTGCACTTTGGTCAGACAATGACTGATGTGAGAAAGAAGGCTGGAGCATGGTGTTTGAAGGTTGATGGTGTTTGAGAGCGTCCAGCAAAAACAGTGTTCTCTATTTTTGGAATGGATGAAGCATGATATTTCTGAGTGTGGAACACGGTGCATGTTCTCCACAACAACCCCCTGTACCCACTCAGTGTGTTAACTACCAGCTAACACAACAACTTGTCAAAATGTAAACAAGGAAATCTGTTCATAAATGATCAAATGCAACCCATAAAAGACAAAATATCACGTTGTATAATGTGAAAATTTCTTAGAGAGGTCTTTCTTAAAAGCCTTTGCCTTTCTAAGAACTTTGCTCATCACTAAAGCTCTTGTTTCCACCTCCTGCAAACTATAAATAAAAGAATAGTACCTTTTGTGAACTGAAAGGAACCCTGTGGCATTGATCAAACTGACACACAAACAAGATCCCTCCCAACCCAATTAGAGTAGACTTGAGACCTAGTCAGGTTTGGGTCTTTTGTACCTGAGAATCAACTGGAATCTTCAAGACTCAGACTTAACCTCTAGGACCAACTTCATCCACTAAGTTGGGGGCCATTGAGTAGCCAAAATGCCTCCAATAAGATGAGACCTGTTTGTCAACAGCAGTATCAACTAGCTCTAATGAAGATTTTTCACCATTCATAGAAGACATTATATCGTCAATTAACCTACCAATGGGAAGTGCCTGGGAGATCAGCAAAAAGTGTGTTCACTGCCAACCCTTGGACCTTGCTCAAACCACGGCTTTGCTTCATCAGACACAACAACAAGTCCACATATAGCCACATTCTGACTACACGTTGCTCTGGAGTCTAAGAACTTTTTCTACTTGTTTTTCCACCAGAGGAACCAGTTTGTTGTTGTTTTTTCCCCACTAGAGTCTAATTGTTCTTAGAGTTTTACTTTCCAAAACCCTAGGGATAAAACTGGGACTTTTATATTCTCTGTCATTGCAAACAACTCCTGTAGATTGAACGGCAATGAAGTCCAGGTCCTGTTAAGCATTTATGTAGAAGTGAAGGTTTGGGCTGTCTTTAATACATCAATTATAATTTGGTTGTGCAGGGTTTTAAACTCTGATTAATACATTGTTAATACAAGACTTTGTACACTACCCCCAGAACTGCATATACATGAAGTCACACATACTGCCAGGACTGTGTGAATGTACTTGAATCTGTTGGGATCCCAATTACATTTTGACAAGTAAAAGGTTATCTGGTTGGTTGTTTCTACATTCTTACCTTGTACACCTACCTCTCCTCCCTTCAGTACACACACAAAACCACAACTCCTTTTGCTAGTGTTAGACCCCATAGGGATTCTGGAAAAGGAGGAATAGGTGTAATTTGGGGTGTCACCGATAGCCGCAATGAACTCTTCTTGCTCTTACTGGCTTGTTCACTTTGATTTGTGTTCTGGAAGGTAATTTGCTGTACATATATCTTTCTCACTATATATATTTATATATAAAGTAATATACAGTTTTATTCTCTGTGGTTGACCGTTTATCAGTCTTTCACTATTTCATTCTTTTCTCTCTTTTTTTTCTTTTCTTTTTTTTTTTCTTTGTCTATTCTGTTCCATGACTGACAGAGGGCATTTTTGGTAAACAAAGCCATCTTTCACTTTATTTCAGCCTCATTTTTCTCCCCCACTCTTCCTTCCCTAAAGTATATCCCCTCCTCCCTCCTGCCAGTATCTGCCCATTCCTCCTTTCCTTCCACTTTTCTGTTGCTGTGCTCTCTCATCATTAGGCTGATGGTCAAACCAATTCTCTAATCAGACTTGGGCTTTCTTAATATCTTCCAAACACTCACCTTATTTTGAAAGCACAAAAAGAAATGTTGACAATTATTTTGAAACACCCACCAAACACATTCATGTTTTCCTGGTAGACTCTTGCCCCTACGCTCTTTGTTAATACTTAGTCTGAATTAGCCTCTAGAAAAAGCAACCTGGTTCTTGATAGAAACTTAGAGATACCCACTTAAAGAATCTGTAAGACATTCATATCAGACCCTACAGTGAGCCAGTTATATGAACTAACACATTTACAGTTTTAGGGTTTTTTGGTATTTGGAACCCCCCAAAAATCTGAGAACATTGTCGAGGAAAGAATTAAAACTAAATATCTCACTCACTCACTCACCTTATCATTCAACAGATCAAGAATGTTTCTAATGTTAACTTCAGGGCAGTGTAATGAAGGAGAAAGATGACACCAACAGTGCTTGTTTCACTCAAACATTTTGAGTGGGAAATCTACAAGAGGGTTATACAAGCACCTGCAATCTAGAATGTCCACTAGCAAAATAATGGCCAGCAAGCAGATTGCTTTAAACACAAAATAATTGAGACTGGGGGCATCAAATATAAGGCTTGGGGGCCAGAATCAGCCTGGCAAAGACTCCATTCCCACCAATTGGATGGCTTTGGAAAATGTAAAGAATGACTTAAATGTTGGACGTATCTGCATTTTCACAAGTCTTGCAGCTTTTTCTATTGATAACAGTCTCCCCAATGGCCACTAACAAAACACAGAAACTGGAGTTTCATTGGTCCGGTCAACAGAAGCCCAAAGTTGGCTGCATGTGGCCCACAATGTAAAATGATTTTGAAATTCTTGATCCAGACTGACTTAAGTCAGATGAGCAAGGCTACATAAGCCTTATTATGTCACTTCCTTTGAGTGTTCATAATCATGCTGTATGCTAGTTATTAACATGGGGCAAGAGGTCTAGTGATCTACCAGGGAGTCGCATGACTGATTATTTATGTTATCTGATCTCAGAATTTGAAATCCAACTTTAAAAATGGAACATAATTTAAATTAATTACTACTTAAATCATTGTGATATTTTTGACTATATATTGTATCCATTAATCAGTTGTTGTTGCCCCAACATAATTACTAAAATCTGGGAACAGTGTGACATTTAGCAAGTTAAGAAACACAAACGGTGAGATGATTGGGCTCATTTTGAAAAGATTATGCTTACCCAGGTTCTCTAAACCACTTTATTTGCAATCAGGCTCAAATAAGTATACCTGACTTTAAAATATGCTGAACCAAAGTCGGGTATGCACTATGAAGGCAAAAGATGACCTGCTTAAAGGCTGCACAACAAGGTCTTTGGTCGTGGCTCAGAAGTGATAGTCCTGCATTGTGCGATGTGATGGCCTTGGGCCCTTGGCCTAGCAAATCCGACAGTGTTTAATTTTTAAGATTGCCATATCGCAGTTTGGCTGCTGGCATAACCTATTTACATCCATAACAAAGAAGCATTAAATGAGATGCTAATTAGTAAGACTGTTGTGGGGAAAACATAACCAACCCAGACAGAACAGATGGAGCAACACGTGCAAAACCAAATGTCTGGGATGCCAACTTTAGTTGAGTTAGCAGACGTTTTCGGTTTTCTGCACCCTCCAGCCGTCGTGGCCTGGCAGCATGGGGCTGCAGTGCTTAGCACTGTCACTTCACAGCAAAAATGTCCTGGATTCAAATCCACCAGCTGGCTGAGGCCTTCCTGTATAGTTTGCATGTTCTCCTCATGCCTTAATGGGGTCTGTGTGAGTGCCTCAGCTTCCTCACATAGTCCAGAGACAGCATAAATCACCTTTGGGTGTGACTTTAAGTATGAATGCTTGTCTGTTTCTGTATTAGCCTGCGACAGACTGGCAACTTCTCCAATATGTACCCCCTCTCTCACCCTATGAAATCTGAGATGGACTCCAGTCCAAGTGTAATCCTGAACTGGAAAAGTGGCGGAAAATGGATGAATGGCATCAAAGCCTATGATTTACTAGGTATTATAATTGTATAGGCTACATAATTGACATTGCACTCTAGTGAACCTAGGTCTAGTGGACCTATACTGCACAGTTTGGTTTGCAATAAACTTACAGATTTCTGAAATCTCAAACCCTGAGCCTTTAAAAAATGTGAAGATATGATTAAGGTCTGGTTCCAAATGAATTCTGAAACCAAGCAGACAAAGTCCAGGACTTTCTGCTGTGGTAAAGGTGTGAATTCTAAATCGAAACTATGGTTAAGTATTGGAGTCAGCTTCCTTGGAACTGTTAAGGTTATCTTATCGTCAATTAATGTCAGTGTAAATCGTGTGGTAACCAGCAATGGTAACACACAGATTCATTCCAAAGCAGCTTCAGCTCCATGCTAAGGACATTGTTCATTAAGTCAATGAAAAGCATTTTTAGGTTCAGTATAATGCAAACAGGGCATTTTTCTTCTCCCCGTATGAGACAAGTTCTCATACAAGCTAAACGTTATATTGAAAACACTCTGCTAGAAGTAAATGTTAGAAACCACAGGTTTAAAGCTCATATGACTGACTGCTTGTGTTTCTTATGACACAAAGTTCCTTTTTTTAAAGATACTCATATGTTCCCAGATCCCACTCTACTCTAAATATTGACCAGTCTATTGGTCAAAGTAACCACAACCTACTTTATGATGCATTTAAAGATATTTCCTCTCAATTTCCTTTCAAATCTACCAGCAGATGTAAAGCTTTGTCCCAGGTCTGATGCTGTGAATAATCATGGAGAAAACTAGAGGCTGTTTGGTGCTGAAGCTCCAGCTGTAATCGAAACATCACTCTAACACTGTGGTTTCCGTCTTTGCTCCGATGGTGTCAAACAAACTGCTGAGTCTTCACCACAAGGTTCCTTTCACTAAGAGATGAAATGGCTGGTGTGGGCTGAGGATTGTCTGCAGGCCTTATTGTATCATCGGAACAAGGACTGGGAGCCACCATTATAACACATTGCTTATAGGTTCATGAGCAGATAATAGAGAGTTAGAAATTTGCAGAAGGGCATGTAGCAGCTTATTTAAGTCATTAAGGTAACATGTGGCTTGGTATCATGAACTCTCACTCATTAGCGTACTTGGAATTTTAATCTAAGGCTGTGAACGTGTTTGCACACACACTTAATGCATGTTGGAGATTAAAGGTTGTTTGCTCTTGTTTCATTAAGCCAATGCAGTTCATCATCATGGCCTAAATAAACACTCCAATTAGACAGAGCACTCAGGCTCAAAATACCTGATGCACTGTTAACATCCATCATATTCTGATTGACTAATAAAGAACAAAAATTACACGAATTATCATAAAAATCTACAATATGCATCAGGTGTTTTCTGCCATTCATCAATAATAAAACGAATCAATTGCAATTGTTTTATATTTTTTTCCTATGACCTTTGATCCCACGTAGCTCCTCTACTTGTCCCCTCTCTGAGACTTGCGCCCCCAACTGGTCATGCAGAGAACTTCATATAACACCCTACTCCTTCCAACCGCCACACTCCCTCTACAAGCCCTGCGCTCTTTAGCCAGTCAGCTTGGACACATGCAGGTTTTGGTGTTGATCAGGGCCAAATCTGGGCCAAAAAGCAGGCCTGTTATGGGCCAAGTGTGAGCCGTAAACCCAGCTGCTCCAGACCCAGATTTAGCCCCCTGCTGGGCGCAGACAGTAACTGAAAAACCGTACCCCTCCCCTCCGTCAGAGCTCCCTCCTCTAGAAGAGACAGGAGGTCAATGGCTGGCTTGGGAGGCCAAGAGGCAGGACTGCTTAAGTTTCATCAATGGTAAGGTGTCCTCCTTGTTCACTCCCCTGATGATGATTGACTGCGAAGTGGGGTGAAGGCGAGCCAATAAAGGAGCAGCACGTTTGATGAAGAGGAGGCTTGGAGATCTACCATATACATCTTCAGCAGCAGTTTATCTGCAGTCCTTTTCCAGAATCCCATCTGACCTCGTAACCTTGTCTTTTGTTGTTGAGCTGAAACTCACAGTCATCTAACTGTACCATGTCGAAATGACATCACTTATGTTTGCTGTTTATTCTAGCTGCGTGGTGTCTCTGGGTCCGTTTGTAAAAGGCTGTGGTCAGATAGGAGGCAGACTAAATGTGAAGATGCCTGTTCGTAGTGATGTACCCACAGAGAGTTAACACTAAATCCTGCATATTTGGCGTCTTTCAGATTATTTCTTTGGTTTGCAGGATTACTCTTGCAGTTCGCTCTCATAGCCCATCTCACTTCCAGCCGCAGCAGCAGAGATGAAGCTTTGAGTGCTGATGATTTGCTAATCACTTAGATGTAAGACTTTAGCGTTAAACAGAGTGTCTGTCTCTCAGATAAAGCCCACTACAGGTCCCAGGATGGTGGGCTCATAACGTTCAGAGGTTTCTCCACACTTTCCATCCTCCGTGCTTGCCGTCTTCAGTACGGAGCAGAAAGGGACAAAGTAGCAGTCAGTACGAGGCGGTAGCACCTACCCACTGCTAGGTAGTTAATAGTGGGAAAAAATGTAAAAGCAAAATTTTCAGGCATTAAATTTGCAGATGAGTACAGAGTATGTGATGTGGAAGTATCTGAAGTTGGAGCATCTACATCCTATGTGATCATGGCCTGATATCTTCCCACCCTTTGTTTTTTGTTTTGTTTTGTTTTTTTAAATCAGTCTGCCACTTCTACTGATACTTTACCACACCTTTTTTTTTCTCCCCCTTTTAAACCGAGTACGCCTGAAAATACCTCGCTGTCCGTGTACCCCTCCCTCTGTAACCGCTGGGTGAATGAACTTTACAACATGTTGCATCTGTTTGTGTGTATTTGTATTAATAATTTTAATCTTTTTTTCACTGTATCACTGTACTGAATATGTTTGATATAATAACACACTTAATTTGATGACATTCTGCTGGGACTGCTTCTGTATCATCATATCAGGGTGACAGCTGATTACTCAGTTACTCAGCAGTTAGACAGCCATGGAGTGTAAAAATATGTAGATAATGATGCTTGAGATTCATTTCTAGCTTAAGACATAGTGATAATTACTGTGATTGTTACAGTGAGAACTCTTCATTTGTAATGATTCTGATCTTTGTCTCTCTCTCCCTCTGTTTTCCTCTCACTTCCTGTGTGTTTCAGTCGAGAATGGGGAACACTGCGACTTCACTGTGCTGCGCAACATGCTGATCAGGTGCACAATTTACTCAGATTCACTTTGACAAATGCAATGTTTTATAGAGTTTGTAAGATCCACAGTGGCCACTAGAAGCCAGAATTATCCTCTGACTCTACTTTAGACTGGATATAGACTGGATCAGCTGTGTGGATGTAGCAACTGTTTAAATATCTTTCTGCAGCTTCTCCTGGTGTGTGAATGAAGAGATCTGCAGTTTGTGTAAATTTGAAACTTATTCGGTGATCTAATTTTTCATTACACCTTAACCAGAGTTATCTACATTTTACAATTTAAAGCCATTTATAAAAAAAAAGGTTTTACAGCCAGGTGCTGGTACTCAAATGCACTTAATTAAGTCATCAGCAAGTGTGAGCACCTCTATAAAAGCAGAAGTTTTGGTAGGTTGCTGGTCTTGAGAATTCGCGTGTACTGAATAATGCCACAGTCTTCTCGCGAGTCGACGTCCCAGCAAATTCAGCCCAAGCTCAGACTGTGCAATACTCAGAGAAACTAGAGAAACAGGAGTGCCATCTCAATATACAGGCCTCAGTTAGAAAGTTAAACGTTAAAGTTCATTACAGTACAATTGGGGAAAAGACCGAACAAGTACGATTTGTGTTGTCAGGAGACAACCTTTTTGCTCTAGAAAGAGCGTGGCAGTACGGCTTAGACTTCTGTATAATTCACAGCGACACCTTTAGCAAAAACCAAACGGTGTGTCGGCCCAAACGCCTCATACAACCGTCAGCACGGTGGTGGAGGGCTGATGATTTGGGCTTCGAGTTGTCAATGATCTGTATACCAAAGTGTTCCAGAGCCTGCCTGACAGCTGAAGCTTGGCCTAAATTGAGTCATATATCAGGAAATGATCCCAAGTACAGCAGCAAATCTACAACAGAATGCTATAGTGGTTCAAAGCACAGGATGATATAGTCCTGTGAAAAAATTTTTTTCAGTTTGATCTCTTTATATTTAAAACGTCTCTTTTCTTTTCTTTTTTGCCCCTCCCCCTTCCATAGGACCCATATGCAGGATCTGAAGGACGTCACCAACAACGTCCACTACGAGAACTACCGCAGTAAGAAACTTGCTGCTGTCACGTGTAACGGTGTGGACACCTCCAAGACCAAGGGACAGCTCACCAAGTAAGGCCCAGCCAGAAAGAGACCATCAGTCTGTAAGGGCCAGTGTTGGGACTAACGCTTTATTAAGTAACGCGTTACAGTAACTACGTTATTATTGTGGTAACGAGCACGGTAACTAGTTATTATGCCAAAATCAGGAACGCGTTACTCGTTACTGGGATTTAGATTGGTGGCTATCGCGGAGCTTCCACAGATTCAGTAACATTAGCAAGTGGAGGAGAGACCCGAGTGTCAGGTGAACTGAACTTCAGGTAAGAAGTTATGACCTGCAGTCTATCTGGGTCAGATATAAACCAAGTTAAGGTGGAGTTTATTTTCGTTACGCTGACTTTTTCGTACTGCGTACTAGCTAGCATGACGGAGTTTCTATACAGCTGTTCATCAGAGCTGAACAGGTGATGGAGAAACAGGTTTACCTTTTAGGTGACATGAATGAGTTGAAGGGAAGTTATGAACTGTTTCTGAGAGACAAATAACACCAGGATCCTTTTTTATGTAGCTGACAGCTGGTAACTGTGCAGGGGCGGGTCTAGCAAAGTGTTGCCAGGGGGGCATGTAGGGCATTAACAGGGAATGGGGGGCACAAAGATTTTCTTTCTTATTCTCATTTAAAATGTCTCGCTTTTAAAAAAATAATTATCTGAATCTTACAACAAACGATTGATAGATTGATGCATATATACCATCAGAACAGTGAACATCACTGTCAGAACAGCGTTTGTTTTCATTCAAAGGCTTTATGATTTTTACTATAATGGTGGGCCGGTCTCTAGTCAAAATGCCCGGGAGGATTTTTTTGTCCCAGTCCAGCCCTGTATGCAGCTCATCTGCAGTCTGGTGTTACCTACATCTTCCTATTCAGAAGGCAGAATTTCCGAGTTCTGAGTACAATCGAAAACACAGCGACTGCAGTTTTCCTGTTGGATGTAAAAAGCGCACATGACGCTGTGACTTAGGCTAGAATCATGGTGGCGGTCCAGGCGTGGGATTTGCCTCGTGGAAATATGCACATTATCTTTTCCTTTCTATTGGTAGGTGGCACAGTGCACTGTGGCAAGTAAGCAAGCTAGAAGACTGGCAAAGTTATGGAAGCAACACATTAACAAGAGAATTATGAGTAAAACCAAAGTTACTTTCCCTAGTAACTAGTTACTTTGAAAGTAACGAGTAACTCGAATTAACTGAGTTACTTTTGATAGAAGTAACTAGTAATGTAACTAGTAATGTAACTAAGTTACTAATTTAAAGTAACTTACCCAACACTGGTTAGGGCATAGAGCAAACTGCTACAGATGTGGAAGCAGCTGTTGTCACAGTAATTCTGTATATGATAGGAACAGAAAGAAAGTATATCTTTACCTTTTATCATTATTACTCCAGCATAAAAAGAGTCTCAGGCTAACAACTCAAGAGAAACTAAATTGGCTTCATTTGTCTTTGCTCTTTGTTTCATAAAAATTCATTAGTCATGCACAGAAGTGCAGCAGCTTCTCTGCGAGTGGAGGAGTTTACCGCTCTAAGGGCTGAGGAACAACATTAAACAACATCAAGCCTCTAACCTCTTTCTGTTTCTGCAGGAGTCCCCTGGCTCAGATGGAGGAGGAGCGCAGGGAGCATGTGATGAAAATGAAGAAGATGGAGGCAGAAATGGAACAGGTGTTTGAGATGAAGGTTAAGGAGAAGAAGCAGAAACTGAAGGACTCAGAGGCTGAGGTTAGTTTGAGAAACCATGTACACATAACTACATAATTGTAATATTATTATTATTATTACTTGTATTCTTAAAACTTTCTAGTAGGTTTATATTTTTATTTATAACATGACCAATTAGCATTCTTGATTGCGATTAGCTGACCGTTGTAAATTGTTATTACCGGGGTGTTTACTACACTAGTGCTGAGAGCTCAGTGCTCTGCAGCTCACTTGGATCTTTTACTTGAGCCTCCTGTGACAGCTGTGATCGACTCTTTCCATCCTGGAGCTTTAGAAGCTACCGTCGCTCATTTTCCTTTCCCGTCTCTGTCAAATGTTTCGACCTTCAGCTGGAGCGACGCCACGAACAGATGAAGAGGAACCTGGAGGCGCAGTACAAAGAGCTGGAGGAGAAGAGGCGAGTGTTTGAGGAGGAGAAGGCCAACTGGGAGGCTCAGCAGAGAATCCTCGAGCAGCAGAAGCTGGACGCATCCAAGTGAGTAACACTCACATCTGACCCGACACTGTCACCGAAGGTTAACGCTCTGAGCCACGTCTTTTTAGTCCAGCGATCACAGATCATGTGGTCTGGTCTTGCAACATTACAGATTGTGTATTTGATTATTGAACCACACTTGAAATCTTGCTTATTTAATTTATGTATTCTTACTCGAAAAAAGCAGCACTTGAACTTTAAAGCTCAAGTTTTTTAGTTCAGTGTTATATAAAAGTATTGAGGCTTTTAATTTTTTTTAATGCTGGACACAGATGAATTCATTAGAACAAATGTGGAGTTAGTTTTACTAGTTTTAGGCCTCTTCATTATTCACAGACATTTAAAATAAAAATCAAACAAAATGGAAAATGGAGAGAAATAATAATTAAATATGGCATATCCACATTTCACTAATAAAGTCTGAAGCTTGCGTTTTTGTTTCTGTTGACTTGATCTCGTGTTCTCATTCTCTGCTCACAGGACGATGGAGAAGAACAAGAAGAAAGGAAAGATCTTCTGAAGAGAGACGCGACTGCTCGCTCCAAACTTGTTTCCTTTGATCCTGTCTGAAGTTCACATTGTAACGTGGTCCTCAGAACACACAACAGAACATAACACATGGCATAACAACTCTCTGTGGAAGCCATTTACACACACACACACACACACACACACACACACACACACACACACACACACACACACACACACACACACACACACACACAACAGCTCACACGCTCGTCTCTCTGCAGGGTTTTACTGTATCTCTTAAAACCTGTCTGTTTCCATGGGGAATGCATGTGTTTGTGAAATTCTATTTTCCTATATTTCCTGACAAGGAGAAGTTTGAGTTCCTCTGAGTTTTCAGTGCGGCGTTAACACATGGCAGGGACCATGCATAGCCATCGTTCACAAGTAGTAGTTGTATGTTCGCTAAGTATTCATAGATCTGCAGATATACCAACTCTTTCTTTTACTGTTCTAAAGATTTAACAGGCGTGTGCACACTAAAGCTGTGAGGAGAAGATAAAGTGTACGTGAGGGAAGGCAACTGAATGATTCTGGGTCTGAGGAGAGAGGTCAGGTGGAGCGGAGGCCCGGTCTCACCGCAAACTGCCAAAAACTAAACGGGTAACGCTAGCATAGCGTTCAAGCTAACATGCTTGACTGCCTGAAAACGTCCCGGCAGCATTTTACTGAAATACTGGCTCGTTCCCGTGTGCCGTTCAGTAAAGACAGTGTGAAGGTGAACTGTGATTGTTAGGTACCTGTTAACATTAGTAGCTGTTTGAAATCATCTCCCATCACTAAATACATGTTTTAAATAATATTTTAGTAAAAGTGCTTCTCAGACTTTTCTCATTAGCAAATTCAGCCCTGCAATAAAATTACTTTGTCCAATTAAAAAAAAATCTTAGAATAAAAGTGTAGTTTTTTAGCTTTTAAGTAAAAATAAAGCGATGCAGAGTTGGTTTACATTCCAGAGCTCGTTCACGTGTTAGCAATTACATGTTTTAAGTTAAAGAACTTTATCTCGTCAGACACACAAAACAAGCAAAACACATTTTTAACATGAGCAAATGCATGTGAGTAATGTAGAAATTACAAATTAAAACTAATCTATTAAAATTTGCCTCCTGTACTTTGAATGGCTTTATTAGTAAATACACTTTTCTCCTGTTCCAAATGCATCTTTTAATACTTCTTGTTTTTTTTTAAGTCACCCAAAAAAAGTCATTTTGAGGTCATTTAGCAGTGTTATTATATATTCAGTGACCTACAAACATAAAGGCCGCTCTCCTTTGTGACAGAAAACTTAAATATCTGTTAACAGCTTCCTAGCAAAAACTGCTCTCTATTTTGGACTCTGTACCTTCAAAATTTTAGTGTCCAGGTACAAATACAGAGATTTATTTTGAAAGATTTGCCAGATTTGTGGCTGTCGGTGGACCGGGCCTTCAGATTGGATCGTGCTGTAAGAGTTTCTTTACTAAATGTTTTGTCTGAGGACGTGCTCGGATCTAAAGCTTGCAGTCTGGAGGGGAGGAAGTCATGTGTGTCACAGCAGCCAAGATATCGTCATTGCAGTGTGTGTTAACTATTTTTGAATAAACGACAATATGCAAAAAGCCTGATCGGTGTCTGAAAACTTTACAGGTTACAGTGCTAATAAAGATGTTTTATATTGTAACGTGAGTGATGGATGTTGTCTTAGACCCGAAACCCTGATGTTCACGATTCTGTGACATTTTTCCTTTTGGGTCCAACCACCAAAGGGACGACTCATCAGAAAGCTGAAATCTTCCTTTCACCTTCCTTTTACGAAGACGTTTGCCAAAAACAGCCAAAACTTTGTGTTTGGCTTTATTTTAGATTATTATATATGTATATGTTCCAAACAGCTTGTGCACGCAACAAAACGCCAGCCCTCTGTTAAACAGGTTATATAGATGACATGTTCAGGAGCTTTCCCAGAGTTGTCATGTTTTATTTTCATATGACAATTATATTAATACTCTATATACAGTTGAAGAAAGACTCTTTAATTCCCTTGTAGTTTTCTTAAATGTTTTAGTGTGACCGGGCGTGGTCCGCTGTGCCATGCAGGGAAGGTGGACACCTGCACAGCATCCGCAGTCATTCCCCGTCCACTTAAAATCTGTACTGGTTCCTGTGATTGGGGTTGTTGGTATGTTGATCTGGCAGCAGGAGAGCTGCAGCTGTGTCTTTGTAACAGCAACCATGCGTTTGAGAAGTAATAAAATAAAGTATGCTGCAAAGCATGTTCATGTCCTCGGTTCTGCCGTGGTCATCTACATTTAGATTACCGTATTTTTCGCACTATAAGGCACACTTAAAATCCTGTAATTTTTATCAAAAATTGACAATGCACCTTATAATCCGGTGAATTCTGGTTGTGCTCACTGACCTCGAGCTAATTTTATGTGGTACACGGCGCTCAAATATCTGTCAAAATATGTTTTAGTATGACTTTGGTAAGCTAGGAACCCGCACCTTTAATGGCTTGTCAGAGCATTACTGCTATAGTCAGGAGCCTCGCGGAGTATTCTGGGTCCTAAACTCCGTCCCCTTCAAGTCCCAAAGTCAAAGGAACACTGCGAGATCACTGAGAGTTAAAACAGCCTAAATTATTTCATCTTTAATAAATTAATGATCAGCGTTGTTGCTTTACCACGTGTAACAATTAAGTTTAACATCCAGGCATCCATGAAAACAATTTATCAAATTTACCGGAGTTGGATGTTAGCAGGAACCATGTTCTGACTGAGAGATTTCTGAGGAAATTAAAACCTACAGCTCTGCTATCACTCCCAACATAAACAAAGAGAGAAAACTAAACAGCAGTGACGTTTGTAGGGTTACTGAAGTTGGACTAGCTGGTATATAATGATGTGCTACGTGATTGCTAGTGACACAGCTATGTTAGCGTAACATAAACAGTGAAGCTGGAGGATGAACGCTAACTTTTTTCCACTCGATAAGTTATCGTGAGGGTTCCCGATGGTTAGGGATAAATGGCATGGCAGGATGCTGTAAACAGACCAAACTTCAGTCAGGAGAAGAAGCGCCTTATAATCCGGTGCGCCTTACCGTTCGTCGACAGTTCACCTTTTGGTCCGAAAAATATGGTAGTTTCTCCAACTGCATTTAGAGCAAAAGGGACGAAGCTTATACTTAAGCATATTTCATATTACCATATGGATTTGTTTATGATGGTAATGCTTATATATTGTGTACATACTGGAGGCTGCTCGGTGGCTCTTTTTTCCTCTTTGTTTGTATTTGGTTATTCTTTTTTATATATAAATATATGTCTGGAATGAACCACAATTTGTACTTAGAACAGAACTTGGAGCGTAAAACTCGCCCTAGAAACATTTCCATACATCTATATGATCGCATATAAACTGTTTGCATCTTTGCCAATGAGCGCGCCTTCTCAGGGCCCTTCTGTTTAATTCTCTGGTCCTACAAGTTCAAGAAAGTGATGGAATTTTACTTTGAAATGCTTGGGAACGACTCACCCATCCAATAACAACATGTTAGATACTTTTTTTTTTCTTATGTTTTGTAATATTTTCTTTATATATATTTACATATACAAACAGTTTTCTGCTTCTCTTTGTTTCCTCATGTGTTCTGTCTCTAACTGTACATGGTTAAAATTAAAGTTGAAAAAGTTATGCTAGAACTCTAATCGTGTGTATGGATTTCTTTTGAAGTATTAATCATAGAGGACCAGTATGTCCCAATACTTTTGTCCATAATAACTAAAGGCAGCCCCTCCCCCCCAGCACTGAATAGATCAACAGAAGAGAACGAATGGATGGATTACTACTGAAATTTTTCATTCAACATTATACCCAAGTTATCAAACTGATATTATGATTGTAAACTCAAAAAATGAAATTGGTGCAAAAAATAAAATAAATATCCTGACTTCATTCACATATTTTTCTGTTAATAGAGGAGTTACAGCTTCACTGTGGAGGATAACACATTACTGTGGCAAACAGTGCAGGCTTGGCCAACTCCAGGCTTCAATGGCCAGTGTCCTGCAGGTTTTAAATTTCACCCTGGGTCAGCGCACCTGAATCAAATGATTAGGTCATTACCAGGCCTCTGGAGAACTTCAAGACATGTTGAGAAGGTAATTTACCCATTTAAATCAGCTGTTTTGGATCAAGGACACATCTAAAACCTGCAGGATACCGGCCCTTGAGGCCTGGGTTTGGACACCACTGCATTAGTTTTTGTATTAAAGAGGCAGTAAAGGAGGAATAGGATGTGCTGAAACTGGGGGGCCGAAGAAAAACCATCTCATTGAGAACTGTCAGATCGGCCCACAATAAATCATGTAGGCATGCAGACTGCTGGTACCACTGATCCATTTATTAAACAGTTGGGTTTACCTGTCTGTATCTCAGAGACAAACAGGTCCCTGCCTGCTCCAGGCTGCATGCCAAAGTTTCCTCGGGAAATATGCTGAACTCACAGTTGCTCTCTGAGTGTTCATCGGTCTGAATGTTAGACGTGCCCACATTTGTGACAGGAAACTTAAAATCTGTTTACACCTTATAGCATGAGCTACTTTTTCCATTTTGGATTTCAAACCTTCAGAGTTAAAGTGTCCAGACAGCTTTCTGCTGCTCATTGCTACAAATTCACTGATAAAAATTCTGAATTGAAAAATTTCCAGACTTGTTTCTTTTTCATATTATAATGATTGTATTAATAATGCTCTATGTACACCTGAAGAAAGACTCTTTAATTCCCTTGTAGTTTTCTTAAATGTTTTAGTTTTTCAGACTGCATTTATAGCAAAGGACACAAAGCTTACGTCTTCATCATATGGCATACTACCTGTATGGATTTGTTTATGATGGTAATGCATATATATTGTGTACATACTGGAGGCTGCTCAGTGACCCGTGGTTAATATTACAGTTGAAAAGTTGTGCTATAAGTCTCAATGTGTGCACTTCTTTTTATACAGTCAGAAAACACATGATATTTTAATAAGTCAAATATTTGCAGCATTTCTGGATGATTTCAGAGTTTTATAGAGCAATAAAAACAAACAGTAAAGCTGCAATCACTTATCAATGACAAGAAAAGAAATTGTTTAAAATTTTAATTTCTATTTAAATGTTTGTGTGATGAGTAATCACTATACTTTAGATTGTCTGTGTGTTTTACAGCACACATCCTGTCATTTCAAGCAGATCTAACAAAAACTTGTCAGTTTGTCTTGATGTTCTTCAGTCACTGTTGGTCCTTTATTATTACTTAACTTTGATTCATGGTGACTCCCCTCTGTGTTAAGAGAGCTGGGACGCCCAGTTGAGAACAGCTGCTTCATGTAAACAGGGGGCTTTTGAGGGACAGGGGGCGTTTGAGGGAGAGGGCGCTTTTGAGGGACAGGGGGCTTTTGAGGGACAGGGCGCTTTTGAGGGACAGGGGGCGTTTGAGGGACAGGGCGCTTTTGAGGGACAGGGGGCTTTTGAGGGACAGGGGGCTTTTGAGGGACAGGGCGCTTTTGAGGGACAGGGCGCTTTTGGGTTGCTCCTCTCTCTTGTTTGACAAATTGTTCCATTGCCCACTCTGCAGTCTGTTTCACACAGAAAAGCTCTCTGGGTGTCTCGATCCTGTAGAAAAATCAGTATCATTATTTTGCTCTTATTTTTACAGATTTTACTGTTAATAAAAGAGTTACACTTTCAGTGTGGATGATCATAAATGACTTACTTGGCAAACATTAGTGATTGTATCAAAGAGACAGTGAAAGACAAACTTACACAAATGCTGGTGTGGAGCATTGTCTGTGAGTTTTCACGATGGAGACGATGTTCGCCTTTGGGATCCGTTTGTCAAAGAAGTGAAAACAGCAAAGGTCAGGAGAAATCATTGCCTTAGCTGTAACAGAAAAACAGGGATTACGCAGTGCTGCGTCTGCTTCTAATGATTTCTCCAACATACCAGATATAATTAAGGTTAATGCTCCTTCAGGCAACTAAATACAATTTGTTTTATCTTGATGAAAGATACAGCTTAAAGGCTCCTATTTTGTTTTTTGGACCAAGATTATTAAGCAAAGAAATAAAAGAGAAATAGACAGAAAATAGAAAAACAAATTTAAGTAAAAAAATCTGTCTCAATAAAGGACATGCCGGACATGTGACCACACTTTTTCTGCAAGGATTCAGTCTGACTTTGAAGAATGAGAAAATGACAGGTAAGAACTTCCAGCCCACTTGAGATCAACACTGGTCTTCATGACCATGAACTTATATGAGTTTGATGTCCTCGCTCTGTCTCACTCTGTGTCTGAATGAAGAGAAAGACAGAAATTCAAAAACTGATCTAACACAAGTACAAGTAGCAGACTTACAGACATCGCTGTGGTAAACGGTGAACAGCACGAGCAGCAGTCCCACTGTCAGGCTGAGAGTCTTCATGCTGACTTCACTGTAGACCTGATGATCCTGATGTTTCAGAAGATGTCTGAGTGATCGGTCCGATCACCCTGCTTTAAGTCTCGTTCTCATCTGCATATTGAAACGAATTCTAAGAAAGTGGAAAAATGATCAACAACCCCAAAGGCGGTTAATAGATTGGAGGTTTTTTCTGTACCATGAGACAACAGGAAGTTTCAGGAACTCAATATATCTGATAAAATGCTGAAACAAACCACTCGGTGTTTTACAAATACATTACGTAATATGCACTGTTAATCAATCAATCAAAGCTTTATTCGCCACTTGCAGGTTGCCCTGCAGTGAAATAACATCTCTGTCATTTAAGCAGATCTGAACCATTTGAACAGAAAGCGCTACACAACATGTTGTTGGGAACGGTCACAAAGTGAATTTTTTTCTAAATTAAATTAAGGTAATCCAGTCTAAATTCTTCTTTTTCTTTTTGAAATGGCGTCATATTGCTGACGGTGGAAACCTAATGCGACAGGAGATTCTACTATCAGTAATGAATGAAAAATTAGGAACTGACTGGACTGGTAAAAGCTGACAAGAGTTGACTGACTTAACACCACTATGCAAGGTTAAAAAGAAAAGAACTGGAGCCTTGTGTGAGCTGGTCTGACTGAGATGGTTTTTCTTCTTTAAATGATCCTTTAATCTTAATCTTTTCTGCAGGATCAAACATCCAGAGGGCTTTTCTGTGTGAGAAAGACTAAGGAGTGGGCATCTGACAAACAGGAGAGAGAAAATGAGACCACTGTTGTGATTAACACATGAAAATCTATCGTGACACAGATGAATGAAAGAATGAGTCACTCCATAAAGCTGCAGAAAGTATAGTTCGGTGTAGACCCTTCTATTTGCCGAGAGAGCTCACAGCGGTCACAATAATAGCAGTTTATGTTCCGCCGCAAGCTAATGCTAAGTCAGCCATGGAGCTACTCCAGCGCTCAATTAATAAACAGCTCATCTCGGACTCTCTGACCATCTCTATCTGTCCCTGATCCCTGCTTATAAACCTCTAATTCAAAGACAAAAACCATCTGTAAAAACAGTACAAGCGTGGACCGCGGTAGCCACCACAGGGGCATCCTTGTCAGATGCCCGAACCACCTCAACTGGCTCCTTTCAATGTGGAGGAGCAGCGGCTAACCTAATAAAGAGGCCGGGCAGAGCCCGAAAAAGGGACATGGGTCCATCTTCCTGCAGGCCCACCACCTGCAGGAGGCACTGTAGTGGTCGGGTGCAATGTGAGTTGGGTGGCGGCCAGGAGCGGAAGTACTCAACTGGTCCCTAAATGCAATTGACACCCCTTTCTCAACGAGAAGTTTGGGCTTGGGTGAGCCTGAGTGCTGAAGATATCTACCTATTCGGAACCATGGTAACAGGGTTCTGGCTGATCGGAGCTGGCTTGGCCCTGACTTATCGAAGAATTAAGAAAGCAGAACCGGCTGTTCAAACCCCCACAAG